CGGCCCCAAGACGGTTTCAAGTGCCCTCCGAGCCCTCCAAGGACCCCCCCAAGAGGCCAAAAGGGGTTCAAAATTTAAGGGAAATCTGAGGCAGCGACGACGGCGAGCGATCGTATATGAGAGCGAAAATTGCGTAACGTCGATCGCACGCCTTCGTCTAGGGGAACGCAAAATGACACAAACACAAAAACTCGCAGGTCCGCGCGGACTTCTCGGATCGGCTCTGGGTCCCCCCGGGCAGCGCCTCCAGCGCCGCCCCTGGCGCGCTCGCGCGCCAGGGAGGGGGGTCCAGCGCGGAACCGAGAAATCCTTGCGGATCTCCGAGGTTTTCAGTTTCTGTCACTCTTCGTTCCCGTGGACGAGGGCGAGCGATCGACGGACGGACAGGCGGACGACGACGACGACGACCCAGAGCCACGGGCAGACGGACGGCTCGCCAGGGGCAGCGTTGCCCCTGGAGTTCAGTCGGGCCTGTCCCTCTACAGGGGGAAATTCAAAAATAGTCAGAAAATAGTGTGGGGACGTTTTTTTGCATCTTTGTTGACCGTTTGGGTTTTTTTGTTTGAGTATGTTTTATTTTTCGTCGAAAATCCCCCTGTAGGCAGGGGGACGCGCCCGACTTCACCCCAGAGCCCCCCGCATGGCATGGCAAGATCGCGACGGGAGGCTTTATGGGGCAGGTGTCGGCCTCTCTCCAGTGGCCCTCGCTGGGCCCGGGGGCCGCCAGCAAGACCACTCGGGATGAGACGCCGATCCCGTGAAAGGGGGCGAGGCTTCTGGGGTTTAGGTCGGGCGTGTCCCTCTCCAGGAGGAAAATGCAAAAATAGTCAAAAAAAATAGTCAGGGGACTTTTTTTCAAAAAATGTTCAAAAAAATAACGCCGATCCCGTGAAATGGGGCGAGACTTCTGGGGTTTAGGTCGGGCGTGTCTCTCTCCAAGAGGAAAATCCAAACATCGTCAGAAAATAGTCTGGGGACGATTTGTTCTACTATTTCTGCCTGTGTTTTATTATGTTTGGACAATTTGTTAGGGGTCCTCCAAGATCCGCCTGTAGGAGGACATGCCCGACCTAAGGCGAGGCTTCTGGGGGTCCACGTCACGAACAAAAAGCATGACGCCAGGGGTCTGGGCATTCGGGTTGCCTTCTGAGCCCGTTCGGCGTCTGAGCTTGTTTCGACGCCGGCCCGACTCAAGATCGACCCCATGCGGTCGCCGAACGGGCTCAACTCCCACGAACCCGTCGGAACTGAGCCAGTCCGGCTGCTCAATCGGCAGCCAAACCTGCTCAGACGCCGAGCGGGCTCAGAAGGGAGCCTTGGGGGTACTGTCAAGTCGGGCCTGTCCCTCAAGGGTAGTGGGGGATCCCCGACATGACGAGAGGTTTTTGCAAAGTGCTCGGCCTCTTGGGGCCCTCCTCAGGCCCCCGGGCCGTCAAGTTCGACCTGGCGATGAAGACGGGGCCCCCAGGAAGGAGTCCAAACCCATGGGGGTCCACGTCCTCTGGGGGCGATGTGTCGGAGGGGGGAGGGGCACACGTCGAGGCACACACCCACGGGGGCGTCAGAAAACCTCAAACTTCGAACCCCCTATAGGAGGAGGAGGAGGAGGAGGAGGAGGAGGAGGAGGAGGAGGAGGAGGAGGAAAAAAACAAACAGCACAACCATACAAACTGTCGGAGGTCCGCGCGGCTTCCTTGGATCGGAGCGCGCCAGCGGCGGCGCCGGAGGCGCCGCCGGGGGGCCCAGCGCCGACCCAAGAAATCCGCACGGACCTACGACAGGTTACGTTTCTGTTGCTTGTTCCTTTTCTGTGAGGGAGGCATCCTCCAGATTTCGTAATAAAAGGGAGGGTGTCTGGACCCTCCAAGACAAGCCATTTCAGACCCCCCCCGTGGGAGAACCCTCCAAAACATCGTCCCCAGACCCCCCCAGGCCCTCCAAGATAGCCTGGAAGAGACCCCCCCGAAATGAGACCCCCCTCCCTTTATTACGAAATCTGGAGTAGGCAGTTCGAAGTTCAAGCTTCTGTGTTGCGTGGCTTTCCAGCCTCTGGATGCTCTCCAGCAGCTACGCCTCTCCGAGGGGGGTGTGCGGGGCTGCCCGGATCGTCCCGAACGGCCGCCAGAGACCCGAGGACGCGGATCACTTCGGGGGGGGCTCCGTGGGGGGCAGGTATCGACCCCCAACCAGTAGCTCACTCGTCGTCGACGGCCCGCCCGGGAACGTGCGGATTCGCCATCGGGGGCATGTCGCCGATCTTTCGACGATGCATTGCCGATTCTGTCTCGGTGTTCCTCCCCGCCACAGCCGGTCCCCCTTAGCGCTCCCCCGCAGAATTCCGGGGAGGGAGAGAGGGAGGGAGGGAGGGAGGAGGAGGAGGAGATGCAAGAAGAGAAGATGGAGGAGATGGAGTAAGTATGAGTACGACCATTTCACAGAGTCATACAAGTGGGACCCGTCATAGTTATGAGTTGAAGACGTTGAGATTGATGCCACTTGTTAACAGCGGCCTTGGAGGCCGAGCCTCTACAACAAGTGCAACATCTTTCAGGGTCATGGAGACAGTGGGAGGAAGAGAAGAGGGAGAGAGCAGCAGCAGCAGGGGGACGACGAGGAGCAGGGAGAGATGATGCTCTTTGACCAGGGGCAACACCAATTTCCGCATCCATCGCATCCAACGTCGACCGCAATAGCCTGAGTTTGACCAGCCTCGCTCTCCTCTTGGAGGAGCACCTGTTGCCGCGCACACTCGGGAACGCGAGCTGCGTCGGCGGCTGCACCTGCAATGACATCAACTACCGGATGTTATGGGTTGGCCCACCTGGGCGGCGCACTTTTGACGATGCGCGACCCATCAAGGTGAGAGTGGACGAACAAAACTGTGGCACGCTGAGGGAGGAAAAGCATCGAACATGCCGCGGCCCCAGAAGAGCTGCACGACATTGTGAACCCAACACTGGTCTTCTGAGAAGACAGCGTCACCTGGGGCAGAGCCCCCCTCCATCTCCTCAACCTCGTCCTTGCTTTCGCCTTGACACTCCTCTACAGCATCCTTGATGTCGCCCTCCTCAACTACCACCGCCACCACCACCACCTCGACCTCAACCTCATTCTTGCTCACGCCCCCTGCATCCACCCTTACCTCCTGGTGGGATCCGCCTGTCCAGGTGCCCCCACCCCTTCCTCCCTCCAGGTTGGATCCGCCCGTGCCCGTGCCTCCACCCCTTCCTCGCTCCCGGTGGGGTCCGCCAGTGCGGGTGCCCCCACTCTCTCCGTGCTCCTGGTGGAATCCGCCCGCGCGGGTGCCCCCGCCTCCTTCGCCGCCGCCTCTTCCTCCTCCTCCTTCCTCCTCCTCCTCCTCCTCCTCCTCCTCCTCCTCCTCCTCCTCCCCCTCCTCCTGGTCGTCGCCCTGGGTGGGATCCGCCCGTGCGGGTGCCCCCACCCCTTCCTCCTCTGCTGCGGCGGGGTCTGGCCCCAGGGAGGAGCTCCCATCCTCACGGGCCTCCCCTTACCAGTGCTGCGCGCTCTGCCGGAGGCAGGGGAGCGCTTGGGTTCTGCCGCGACGGGTGCTCGGCGAACCCCGAGGCCAAGCCGTCACCGGGCGTCTCCTCAGCTGCGTCGTCCCCCTGCGTGCCGTCACCTCCTCCGCCTCCCCTTCATCTTCTTCTTAATACGTATACTATTATGTTTCCTCCTCTTCTTATTACTACAAGTATTAGTTGCTTGTTCTTCTTCTACGTCTTATGATTATTGTTATTCCTATCCCTTGGTGGGGTCCGCCTGTGCGGGTGCCCCCACCCCCGTCCTCGTCCTCCTCTACCTCCTCCGTCTCCGTCCAAAGGTCAAAAAATACTCCTAAAATAGTCCCCAGAATACGGTATCTTCAATTTTTCGTCAAAAATCCCCCTGTAGGGGGACAGGCCCGACTTAACAGTGGCCCGGTGGGCCATGCTTCGGACTGCGCGCGCGCCACCTCCTTGACGTCGCGAATGCACGCCCATCCTCGACGGAGCGAGGTCCTGGGCTCAAGCCTGCAGCGCGGGGCAGAGTTCTGCACACAGCAGAGCCAGGCGAGCTCAGTCTTTTTGCGCGCCCGCTGCCTCGCCCGGCCAAGTGCCAACGACAGCATCGCCTCGCGCGACCGACGGCCCCAACCAATTGAAACGCTGAGATGCTGGAGCAGGCTGCAGTACGAGTTCACGTCGGAGCCAGCGTGCAGCCCCTCACCACGATGATGGCGACTCGCTGCTGCCAGTACCGACGTTGCAAGAGGTCCACGAAGTCTGCGAGGAAGCCGCTGTGCGAGTCAAGAGATTCCACTCCGGTGCATATAGGGTCGTCAAACCTCCATTCACCACCTTCAAACTCGTGGGGCGCTGGATCACCCACGTTGTGGCGGACGGGACAGACCAGCCAGCCCCAATAGGATGTCAAATGACTGCTGACGTCCGCCCCAGCACGTGCTTCCTGCTGCGGACCACTGGAACTCCCTCAAGCAGCTCAACCACCGATCGCCATACACGACATACACCGGCACGAATACCTGAATGATCACGCCAAGTCGCAAGCCACATGTCAAGGCACTGCGCGGGCAACTTCGCACCTGGGCCCTGCCGGGGCGCCCTCGGCGCGAGAGAAGTGCCGCGTGGCACCTTCCCCGCGCATGGGCCGCGCAAGCCGGCCCCAGCCGACGCCGCGCGAACGCGCCAGTCTTTGCCTGGACGCGCCGTGGACTTGGGGTCCGTGCCGTACGCACCCGCGGCTCGAGAGCCTTGCGCCCCCTGGCGGCTCGGGGCGCTGTAAGTTGAGGAGGGAAAAAAAACACACAGACACAATGAATCGTCGATTCCCCAGAAAATATGGGAAGTGGGGGGGAAGACAAGAACCCAGAAGATATGGGAAACTATGGGGAATATGTTTTTATTGGTGTGTATCTATTTGTGCGTCCTGGGGCCCCTTCATAAGTACCGCTTTCGGGCCTTGGCACGCTCTCCACCTTCATGCTCACGAGCTCGTGCTCGGCGCCCCCCCTCGTGGCCCTCGTGGGCCGGGCAAGCCTCGCGCCCCAGCTGCGGCCGGCGCCCAAGAGGCCGGCCTGGGTCTGCGCGAAGACCTGGTGGTCACCGGTAGCCTGAAGTCAGGCCCGTCCCCCTACAGGGGGCATTTTCGACGAAAAATAAAAAGTACCCAAACATATGCACAAAATAGTCCAAAAATAGTCTGGGGACTATTTTTCAATCTTTTTTACTTTTTGGGGGTATTTTGAGGGTATCTTTTATTTTTCGTCGAAAATCCCCCTGTAGGGGGACACGCCCGACATAATGGTAGCCTGCCCGCCACAGTGAGCGAGCTGCCCATCTCGCGACTGCCAGCTGCGAGCACATCACAAGCAGCTTCGGTGAAACCTTCAATGTTTGCTCTCCACCGAAGGCACACCCGTGTGTCCAATCTGCACGGCTTCTGCTGCTGCCGCAAGCTGGGACGCGAGCCCTTCTCCGGTCGAGAGAGGTCGTCGATCCTGACACGATTGCTGGCCAACGGCGGAAGAGCGCGGACGTCCGCCCACACCGCGCGCCCGATCGCAGGCCCTGCGCGCTGCTGAGCGCAGGCGAGGTGACCCCGAGCTGGCCGAGAGAAACCTGGGCGACGCGCATTGGAGAAGCTCCAAGTTGCAATGCTGCTGGCGGGGGGGATGGCATCCGCAGCACCTCCGTCGGATCGAGTCGTAGAAGCCGTCGATGGCGACGTGGCCGTGGCCTAATGGAAGATGACGATTAATAAATGACCGGGGGTCGTGTTCACGCGGCGGCGCCCGGGATGACGATTAGAAAAAACCAGCCGCGGGCTGGGAAACTATTTTTTAAAATCGTTCTCCTCCAGTCAGAAAGTTGTGCAGAAATAACAGAAAAGTATTTGTTTAATCGTTCCCCCCCATTTTTTATGAATCGTCATCCCGCATTACGTTCACCTCGAGGTCAGCGCAGACGCCTGATCTGCCCGAAGGTGCGCCTCTCTCAGGCTGGAGCTGCCACGGACTGCAGCACCCCACCCCTCCACACGTTCGCAGCAGACCGCTGCTTGACAAGAGGCTCTCTGATCAAGGACCAGGGCCAGCCGAGGAGGGGCACAAGTCCATTAATACGATCGCGTTGGACTGTCTTAGGAAGCATCCTCCCCAAGATGAGCAGCAACTGTCCTGGCAAGCACAAGCACTGGTCGCTCGCCTCGAACACTAAGGTCAGTTCCGCCAGCGCCACGTCGAGGAGACGCTCCGGATCGACTGGCGACAGGACGTCAGCGCCCAGCCCCGTGCAGGCCTTCATCTGCCTCAAAGCGTCCATGATGTCGGCGACGCAAATGCGGGGTAAAGGCTATTTCCGCGAAGCTTTCTCACCCTTGTAATACACGCCAGGAGGACGAGAAGAATAATAAGAAGACGGACCAGATGGAGGAAGAGGACATGGAGGAGGAGGAAACATAATGGGTGGAGGAGGAGGAGGAAGAGAAGGATGAGGCCATCGAGGAGGAGGAGGAGGAGATGAAGGAGGAGGAGGCGGTGGAGGAGGAGGAGATGGAGGAGGAGGAGGAGGAGGAGGACCACGGGGTGAAAGAGGAGGAGGAGGAGAAGAAGATGGAGGAGGAGGAGGAGACCCCCCCCCTGACGTGCCCCTTCAGGTCGGCGCGGAGGGGCGCCTCGAGGAGAAGCGGCGCGAGGCGCTCGCCAGGCTCTCCCCACGGAGCCCTCCGTGAAGCAGACAGGCCTTGAGGAAGACGCGCCAGGCCTTCCGCCAGGCACAGGGCCGTTGTTGATTGATTGCTTCGCCGATCGGCGCAGGCCCCCACGGCCCCCCCTGCCCAGAGATCCAACGTATTGAAAAAAACAAGACGGAGTTTTTTCGCAAAGTTCGGCCCCTAGGGGCCCTCGCCAGGCCTCGGGACCGTCGAAAAACGACTCAGGATTAGAAACCGGTCCTGGGGAATGGGTCGAGACTTTCGGGGACCGCGCACTGAAAAAAACACGACATCGGATCTCTGGGTCCCCCACCCCCATAGGCCAGGTCTTGGTTGCTCTTGGCGGCTGCAGTTGGCGACTGGTCATGACCCCCCCACCTCCCCGACGCGTGCGTGCGCGACGGGCAAGGAGCAGATCGGGACTGAGCGCCGGCCCAGATTCAGGCGCCCCGCCTCCCCCACCTTTCGCGCCAAACATCCGGCCCTGGGGAATGAGTCGGGGCTTCTGGGGGCCCCGCAGGAAAAATATCAGGACATCGCATGTCTGGGTTGCTGACGTGTGCCCCGTTGAAGAACTGCTGCTCGAAATTTAACAACGTTTTCGGGTTCCTGTTGCCCTCCCAGGGCCCCGGGACCGCCCAAACCCGACTCGGGATGAAGAACCGGTCCCTTGGAAGGGGCCCAGACCGCTGGTGGTCCACGTCCTCTGGGGGCAGTGTTCGGGGGGCGCTGGGCACACGTCGAAGAACAGACCCACGAGGACGCCCAACGACCTCGAGCTTCGAACCGCGCACTTCAGGGGGAAAGGACATGCCGGCCTCACGCCAGCGGAGGAACCTGTGCACGACAGCCGCGGTGCCCGGCCCGGCGCGCCCTCCTGGGCACAACAGGGAGGCGGCCTGGCCAGCCACAGCGAAGGCGGTGACACAAAGACCCCGGTAGTCAGGAGCGAAAGGAGGGCGCACACGTACGTGAGTCCTCCTCCTCCTCCTCCTCCTCCTCCTCCTCCTCCTCCTCGTCCTCGTCGTCCTCCTCTTCCTCCTCCTCCTCCTCCTCCTCCTCCTCCTCCTCCTCCTCCTCCTCCTCCTCCACGCTGGCTTCGAGGTTACGCGTCGCGCGCGGAGGCCCGTGGCACGAGGCTGGCCTCGCGGACGGGGAGGCCGCGAGGATGTGCGCGGCCGGGCGCGCGAGCACATGCTCTGTGGGCTCCCCGTCGGGGGGCGCTTGGCATCGCTCGGACGTGTGCATTTTTCCTTCGGCGAGGACCATCGAGGAGCATCCTTGATCATTTCGCGAAAAAGCCACGCACGAAACCGACAAACAAAAACACAGGGAATGGACGTCCGAGCGATGGCCAGGGCGAGGTCCAGGTCAGGGGTGACCTTTCGCCGGAGTGACCTTTGGTGAGGGCCCAAATGGGTCCCCCAATCGCCGAACGCGCTGCGCTATCAGCGGCTTGCGCGCTTGGGTTTGGCTCCCCCGCGCCCCCCCAAAAGCTGCGCACCAAAGGTCACTCTCACCCCGGGTCGCTCTTGCGTATAGCCGACCTGTCGGGGAGCGAGGTCCAGGTCAGGGGTCCCGCTCGTGGCCGAGACTCGCCGAGACCAGAGTTCAGTCGGGCCTGTCCCTCTACAGGAGGAAGATTCAAAGATAGTCTAAAACAACTAGTTTGGGGACTATTTGTTTAGTATGGTTTGACCATTTGGGGGTGTATGTTTGGACTATCTTTTATGTTCTTTCCAGAATCCCCCTTGTAGGAGGACAGGCCCGACTTCAGACTAGAAGCACATCCCTTCCATTCCTGAGTAGGCCGTTCTTCACGGTAGCGCGGCCGTTGGCTGTAGCGCGCCGACCCCTTCGGTTGGCGACGCCCCCGCATCGCCCGAAGCCGCGGGGGGGCGGCCGCGGGAGTGCCTCGAGGGTCAGGGGCTCGTCGAGGGAGGGGCTCGTCGCGGAAGGCGTCTGTGAGGCCGCGCCCGAGGGGCCCCAGGGATGGCGCAAGTCCGCGAGACAGCGGCATGGGATACGGTGGGGGCCCCTGCCAAGAGACACCCTGGCTTGCCTCCAGGGTACCCTGGGTGTCTTGGGTTTCGGTGTTTTTTTGCTCCGGAAAGCGGGACGCTCCCACACCAACCTTCCAATGGATGTCCTGGGGTCTCAGAGCTTTTGGGTTCCTTGTGGAAGGTTTCTTGTGGACTGGCCTCCGCTGCAGACTGTCGGAGGTCTGCACTCGTCGGCACGTCGCGCGCAGACCACAGAAAGAGTATGCTCACGCGTTTGTCCTCTTCCCCAAGCAGCGCTTGCTGTTTCTGTGTGCTTCTTCTGCGACCCTGGCGCCGGCCCCGCCACGCCCCCGGGCTGCTCTGAGCGGGCCCGGCTCCTCCGAGTCTCCTTCCCGGGCCTGCGCCTTGTCGTTCACCTCCCTCCCGCTGCATGGTGGCTGAACTCGCCTGACGCGCCACGTCTTGCTGTACTCGCCAGCGCAGTCCCTCTGCCTAGCCGCCGACGCAGAAGTGCGCTTGTTCCGCGATGGCTTGGCATTTCCGGGTGTTTAGCTGCTGGGCGCCCGTGTGCGCCCGCGCCTCGCGGCCGCCTCGGGCGCCGGCTGGCCGTTCGTCGGCTGGTGGGTGTCCGTGGGCGCCTCGTGGGAGCCTCGTGCGGTGACCGGCGCTTTTCGTGCGCGCACAGTTCGCACCGCACAGGTTACCCCACGACGTTTGCACCCCTCACATTGCACCCCAACCTCGCCTCGTCGTCGCGCCGCGGCGGAGGTGGGAGCGTCTTCAGCGCGCGGTGGCTGCCCGCGACGGGGGTCGACGTGGGGCTGTCGGCGGGGGTGACGCCCCCCCGACGCTGACCAAGAAGCTCGGAGTAGTTACTCTGCGCAGGTTGCACACGGCTTGCGCCGCATATGTTGCACAGCATAGACTTGCGGTGCGTAGGTTGCACCTCACAGCCTGCAGAGCGGGAATTCCCCTTCTTTTTATATTGAAAACTCGACCCACCCACCCTGGGATTATCGACGCCCCTTTTCGTATTGCTATGTACATACGATGCTGCCCCATCGTCCATCCGAAATATGAACTCGTACCATCCCAGCCAGGCCGATATCGCCCCCACACCCTCTGCAAAACATATGATGCGCACGTTTGTTTATCGAACATCAAGAGTTTTCAAGGTTCCCTTGCAAAACACTCAACGAACTGCACACGCGCGCGTCGTCGCGCGCATGTCGAAATCCTTCAATTACATTCGCCTTCGTAAGGAATTGACAATCAAGTGTCCAACATATATATATATATACATATATATACAAAAACACAGGGCTCCGCAACACGGAGTTCCCAAAAGCGATGCAGAAAACCATTGGTTGTTCAACATGTTGATAACATGCTACCAAACGGGCTTATCCCGCGCGCGCAAATCGAAATCGTTCGAACGCGTTTGCGCGCGTGCTGGGGTGGCACGACCCGTGTCAAATAATACCATGTGGGCCACTATCGCGCGTCTGCCGCGCGCGCATTTCGAACTCCTTCCAACACCTTGTATCACCGACGCGAAGGCGCCGTCATCGTCGTCAGCGTGATCAGCATCGGCGCCGTCACTGGCTGCCCCGTCGTCGTAGTCAGCATCGTCACCAGCATCGCTACTATCATCATCGTCTCTACCGTTGTCGACGTTGCCATGATACCGCGCCCGCCCAAGTCGACGTCTCGCACTGAAGTGCCCGCTGGGATGTGCCGAGCGGTCAACGCCACCGCGTTCGCGCCGGTCGCGCCAAACTAGCTGGTCGCTGCGCGCGCGTGCTTGGGTTGGCGCGGCCGCAGAGATGCGCTAGCCAGCGCCGAGCATGCACCGCAATCGCCACCGCATGGGTTTTGCAAACCAATTGCGGGTGGGTGGGTGGGATGGTTGCAAGGGCATGGGATGGTCAATTCGTTTGTAAAAATCAATGACGCCCCATAGCCTTCACCTAACGGTTTGCACCACATAGCTAGCACCACCTCGACGGCATTCCACAGACTGCACCACAGAATGGGGCACAGACTGCACCCCAAAACGCGCACAGACTGCACCCCACAGCGCACATCCCATAGATTGGATTGGACCGGCTACGCCACATCTCTATTGCGTCCTGCTTTGTACCTTGCACCACGTACCTAGGGTGCACATCGGGAGTGCGATAGCCCATTCCGGGTCGCCCACGTTGGCAACTCAATGTTGTTATCCTAGTAGAAACCCGCGCCCGCTCTCCAGCCAGGAGGGCGTGTAACCGTGCATGGGTGTGAGTGATACCCCGGGTGGTCAACTCGAACCGTGTCACCTGTACCCTAGTGGTCAAGTCGAACCGTGTCACCTGTATAACGTGACCGCACCCCGCCGCACGGTAGGCTTACGTATATGTAGAATGCAACGTTGTGTTTACTTCTCTTAGCCTTGAGCTCATGGGGCGCGCTATGTCGCCCTTGTTCCCGCAACAGACACTGAGGGAGCCATCCGTGTTTTTGATCGGTTCGGCCATTGTCAGGTTTGGCCTCGCAAGGGCCCAGGACGACCCTGGGCAGGCACGGTCGCGGTGTACTGGTGCCTTCCCATACCTCAAACGTCGCGGTTTTTGCTCAAAACGTGGACCCCCAGAGGTCTGGACCCCTTCCGTGGGACCAGCTTGTCATCCCGAGTCGTTGTTTTGACAGTCTTGCGGCCCCGTGGGGGCCGCAAGATGTTGAGATTTGCCCACAACCTTCCGCCGTCGTGATTTTTGCAGTAGCGCGCTGTGGTTGATGGGTTCTGCACAGGTTCGGCGCCCACCGGCGTATCACCCTGGAGCCCAGCGCCGCGCTCCGCAGCAGCGGTGCCGCGCCGGCGCCGCCGGAGGCGGCCGAGGGTGCGGACGCGGCGAAGGACGCGGCCGTGGCGCGCTGTCGCGAGGCGGCGCTGGCAGCGTTCCGCAAGAGCGGGCGGATCAGCAGTAAAAAGCTCAGCGGGACCTTCGAAGAACAGGAGATTCAGTATCGTTTCACCGATCCCCATCTCCTTCCCCATGCCGATCCCCACCATCCCACCACCCCAGTTGGGAATATGCTCTTCGAAACTCGAAGGGAGCAGCCTACATCCCCATCTAAGGGGCTAAATCGGCCGGTGGGGCCCAGGCCACGCCCGTGGGGATAGGGATCCGTTGAACGATGCTGGAAGATTGCGCACTTTCAGAGGATGCTCCCGGAAGTTGTTGGATCTGCGCTGGGCCCCCCCCCCCGGGCGGCGCCTCTGGCGCGGCCCCTGGCGCGCCCCGCGCTCCAGGAAGGGGAATCCAGAGCCGATCCGAGAAATCAACATGGACCTCCGACACGTTATGTTCATGCAGTCTGTCCTTCCTACCGATGCTGTCCTCTCGCTCCTCCCTGTCGCGGGCCTCCAGCGGAGAAATCAACGCGGATCCCCGAAGCGTTCTGCTTATGCAGTCTGTTTTTCGTCTGGACCGGGGGCTCGGCGGGCTGCTGCCGCTGTTGCTGGCCTCTCGCTCCTCCCTGTCGGGGGCCTCCAGCGGGAATGTCGCTGGGGTGTCATCAAGCTCCCCTCCCTATTTCTTTTTTAACCGTGGGCATCGACCGCGGTGCCAAGGGCAGCACTGAGCTGCCGTGGACTGCCCGGGTGGTGCAGCTTCTAGGAGCTAAAAAGCCAGGAAGTTTGCGCCAAGAGCTTTGCAGGTCCAGGCTCCCCTCCTTAGCTGCCCTGGTCGGGGGGGGTCTCACTGGGGAGGCTGGGCCGTGAACATGTACTCTCATTGGCGCCCGTGCTTTAATGCTTGCGAATGCTCGTTTGTATGAAGCCAGCTGAGTGCCGTCACTATCTGACCGCTGTCTGTGGCGAATCAGGTCGCAATTCAAATGCCCTGATACGCCCGTGGTTGAAACGCAACGCGTGCCGTGCTCAGAGCGTCGGTGTGCACACGCTGCGTCTTGGCTCGACGCGTTGGCCCACGCGTGGGCGAACGTGTGGCGCCAGGCCTGCGCGTTCGCTCAGCGTGCTTACCAGCCTCGGACGTACCCCTATCCCTAAGATTGACACGCCACAAGGCGATGACAATCTTAGGGACTCGCCCTCCAAAAATAAGGAAATCCCTAAGATTGGCATCGTGATGAGGAGGCGCCCAGCATAGGGATAGGGATATGTTCCAGGCTGGTAAACGTGTTGAGCTCCGTGTCACTACGCTACGTGTTGCGTGTTGCGCATCGGGGCAGCGAAGCTCCCCTCTGATGGCCCTGAGCTCTGCCCGGACCCGGGGACCATGACAGAACGACCCTGGACGGAAAAACAGCCCCTTGGGGAAGGGTCGGGACATCAGGGGCCCCGCACTGGAAAGAGCAGAAAGGGCACCAGATATCTGGGGACGCCCACCCAGACGAGTCGATTCAGTAGTTTGCACCGCTTGGCTCGATACTGGCATTCGCAGCGCGCTGGTGCAGTCCCCCGTCGGTCGGCAATCGACGGGTGTGCTGACGGATGCCGCCAGTTGATGTTAAACGTCCACCTGTTTTTCCGTCCAGGTGTACTCGGAATACTGTGTCGCGCGCCCCTTTCGCTTTCATTGAAATGTATGTTGGTAAAATGGATGTTGTCCACCTTCGAGAAAAGGGTCAGCAACTCCCTCAGATCTCAATCCTGAGACCCCCTGGCCTAGATCTTCGCCCCATGTGTATCATTCCATTGCTAGGTGTTGGAAATCGTGTGCATATGTGTGCATTCTGCTATTCGACGGCCGTCAGTCTTTCCTCCGTCCCGCGCTGCAGCGTAGCTTCGCTTTGTGATATGCAGTGCTCGTTGATGATATCATCACAGTAGCTGCCGAGTGTGAAAGAGAGAGAGAGAGAGAGAACAAAAAAAACGAAACCTCGATCTTCGATCCTCGAACACATCGATCACCCAACCTGGATCCTCGAAAATCGGGCCGAAAATCGACATTCGAGCATTGCTTTCCGATCCCCGATGCCCGAACGGTTCGGGTTTTGAGGTCCGTACCGAACCTCGATACCCGATCTCCGATCCCCCGAAATGTTTGGCAATCGAGGCTCAGGCCGAGTCTCACCCTGGAGCCTCGGTCCCCAAACCTCGGAGGATTCGGGCACCCCCCGAACGCTCTCGACTTGGCGCAGCTGCTGCAAAGCATCCCGCGGCGATAGGACCGCCGAGAGTCAACGACGATGCTAGAACTCGACAGAGATACACTGACGCACATACATACATGCACACACGAGCGGACGCAAACACACACACACACACACATACACACACACACACACACACACACTGCGTTGGGGCGTCGGGGCCACGCGCGCAGCGGCACAGCGGAGTCAGAGCCAAGCAAAGATATACATGTATATATCTATATACATATATATATATATATATATATGTGTGTGTATGTGAGGGGGCGAGGTAGCGAACATGCACACACACATTCAGGCGGTCGCAGATATGGATCAAGGGGGCGTGGATTCGCGACGGGTCCCGCTTCCATGGGAAACCGCGGATTTCGGCCGCCGAGCGAGGCAGCACCGGCCGCATCCTGGGGAGGGCACCTCCCCCGATCCATGGATTTGGCGACGGCGCGCCAAAAAAGCATGGATCGCTAATCCATGCTTGCGCGCCCCCGACACGCGCGCGACAAAGAACGACGACGACGACGACGACGACGAGCAGCAGCGGGAGGTCGCCCGAGCCGCTGCCGCCCCCACCGCGGCGGCCGCCCGGCGGCTCCTGGCGGCGGCGGGCCCGGGCGCAGCCCGGCGCGACCGCGGCAGCGGACGAGCCGCGCGCCGTCGGCACCGACGGCCCCCGCCCCGGGCGGCGGCGGCGGGCGGCGGCGGTCAGTATCGTTTAGATGACCCCCATCCCCATCCCCATCCCCTTCGTCGAAGAAGAAAGAGCACCATGAACATGAGTTTCTGGCGCTCCGCGCGGAGTTCTTGGATCCGCGCTGAGCGTTCCTTCTTCTCCTTCGAGACCCCCACCAAATTGCCCCCCCAGTTGGGGACACACCCCTCGAAACCCGAAGGGAACGGCCTTGTATCCCCATCTGGGGGTCAATCGGCCAGTGGGGCCCAACCCACGCAGGTGGGGATGGGGATCGGTCAAGCGATGCTCAGGCGGCGACCGCGACGGCGGCGGCGGCGGCGTGGAAGGCGGCGAGGACGACGAGGGCGGCAGCACACGGCAGGGGCAGCGACGACGACGACGAGGACGACGACGCTGGCGGCGTCGGCGACAGCGACAAGGACAGCGGCGTCGGGGGCTTTCTCTACTCAGAAGGCGGACCCAGACTCCCGGGCGGGGGACAGCCCCAGCCTCTCGGGTGGGGCACTGCAGCCCTGGCCATCCCTCCTCCTCGAAATTCGAGAAGCGACGACGACGACGACGACCGCCGCAGGCAGGGGCCCCGACGGCGACAGTGACGGTGGACGCTGCTGCGGCGGCGGCGACGACAGCAACGAGGGCGACGACGAAAACAACAACGATGACAAGAGCGACACGACGGACGGCGAGGACTACGGCAGCGACGAGGACTTCGACGGCGACCACGGCGGCGGCGGCGACGGCGGCGATGGTTATGATGATTGAGTGATTGTCAATGGTGATGGTGATGACGACGGTGGCGTTGATGATGGTGATGATGGTGATGCTGATAGTGGAGATGGTGAAGTCTTTTCAGCGCCGAAGCGCAAAAACGCGTCGTGAACAGAAAGGCCAGATCACACGGGAACGCGCCCAGCCCGTGGCTAGTCTAGCTTGCTCATCGCTTACAGCCATCTTGTTGACGGAATACAGAAGGCAGCACAATGCGACGACAATTACATGCAGCGATTTGGCATTCCAGAAATGTTATGCCGGTTTCGTTAGACGTCTTGGCAATCACCCGGCGCATATAGCGTTAAAACGAGTCCGCCGTTATCTCAAATTAAAGGCGTGGCTACGGCGTTATAGTCGCATTGCCCCCCACATGGCCTCCAATCCTAAAACAGAATCAGCATCACATTCAATTCAATCCCATCATAGTCTGGCATTGCACAGAGCGTCACAGCACACTACATGACAACGCAAGCACCTAGCGATGTACAATGTCACACACACACACACTATCAGAACCGCACCGCGGAACAAGTCACATGCTGTTTTGTAGCATAGCACAGCGCAGTTCATCATCTCATACATTGGTACGACATGCCATCACCTGACACAGCAGAATGTGATTGTCCATGCCGCGAAGAAGCACTGTAGTTGAATCCCTGAACCATGGCATCATAGAACGTCATCCATCATGGAACTTCGAAGCTCGAAGGAGCCCATGACGACGAGGTCGGCGGACGCGGCGATGGCGACCACGACGACGACGACGACGACGACGACGACGACGACGACGACGACGACGACGACGACGGAGAGAACGACGACGACGACGACGACGACGACGACGACGACGACGACGACGACTACGACGACGACGACTACGACGACGACGACGACGACGACGACGACGACGACGACGACGACGACGACGACGACGACGACGACGACGGCGGCGGCGACGGCGGCGACAGCGGCGGCCACGACGACGACTGCGACGACTGCGACGATGATGACGGCGACGACGACAATGACAGCGACGACGACTGCGGCGGCGGCGGCGACGACGACGACGACGGCGGCGACTGCGCCGGCGGCGGTGGCGGCGACCGCCGCCAGGCCCCGCGCCGCTAGCCCTGCCCGAGAGCCCCAGCCCCGGGCAGGCGCCGCCCGTCGAGGACCCGGCGGAGGACTGGGCGCCCGCCTGGCGGCCATGGCCGCCGCCGACGAGGCCTCCGCCGTTCAGGCAGGCCCCTCACAGATCCACGAGGACCCTCACAGAGGACCCTCACAGATCGAGCACCCAACAGACGAGGACCCTCACAGACGAGGACCCTCACAGACGAGGACCCTCACAGACGAGGACCCTCACAGACGAGGACCCTCACAGACGAGGACCCTCACAGATCGATGCGGCTCGAAAAGTAGGGCGGAACGGTGGGGTCCGGGGCGCCAGTGGTGATGTCCTGCAAGGATCCATCGGTGTCGGCGACGTCGGATCTCAGGGTCGGCCACGTGTCGGAGTGGCCCTTCGCTGGAGTGGCCTATGAGTGCGGGCTCACAGGGTCCCTCCAGCATTGGTGGGCGCGCCTGGAGTTGGCCCCCCGCGGAAGGGGGACCTGCGACTGCATGTTTTTTGAATCCGGGCGTTTTTCTTCGATTTCGGGTGGACTCCGTGTCGCCCAGCTCTGTGCTCCAGGCCTCCGCGTGCAGCTCTCTGACCACTGTCGAGTGGATCGGCGCCGACTGTGAATCTGCGATGCCGCCGCCCCGGCGTTGTGAAGAGGCTACCACGCCTCGCCGCGGCTACACGCCGCCTCAGCACCTTGCGCCCTGGTTTTTCTCGGAAAGGTGGTCAACGTCGTCGCCGTGGTAGCTGAGACCCCCCCCCCCCGGATAGTCCCAGCTGTCCTCAACAGGCCCGCCGAGCATATAGCCTGGGGCGATCTCAACACCCTGGCGCTGCCTCCGGCGGATCCCCTGGGGCGCGGAGCGCCCAAGGGATGGGGTG